AAGAGATATCGCATTATCAATATGTTTAATGATTTCTGATACAATTATTTTCTAATTCTTTTATAATAATATATTAACAAAAATATAATAATAAATTAATAAAATATATAATAATATATTATAATATATATAAATATAATTCTTTTTATAATTCTCTTATAATATATATATATATATATATATAATTCTATATAAATATATATATAAATATAATTCTTTTATAATAATATAATAATAAAATAATTTATAATAATAATAATATAATAAAGAAATTAGGACATTTATATTCTCAGAATGAAATTCAATTACGATCGACACCCATTTCTGCAGAAAATTTGACTCTTAATTCTCGTGCAATGTAATACTAACTGTCGACGTTACAGCAATTTCTATACTTTAATTATAATATATTTAGTAATAACATATTCCTCAGAAATCGCACAATTTCCAGAGAAGATGCTCGTTACGATTATGCATTGGAAACAGAGCCACCCTTATCTGTCTCCCGGCTGACTTGGTTCGTCCGAAGTTTACCTGTCCTCCCCCTGCGAGGCCGTAATAGGAAGAAAATGGTGGGCGAGGCAAGACTGTAAACAGGCGAATAGCTGTCCGGAATCCGCTGGCGGCTCACTTCGATCCCAGATTTCAAATACGCCGCATCGTTTCCTCGCGCTTCAAGGAATGCAACTTCGTCTCCGCCATCGACTTCTACTCACGATTAGAGACACAGGTACATCGAGCACATGAGAGAGAATGAGACATTGAAGCTTGTGTACGTTTGGAAACGTTGAACTTCGATTTCATAAAAATTCGCCGGAACTTCGAGTGCCTCGAGGCTCGCGCGATGGCCAATGTCACGGCGACGGTGGACATTTTCTTCGCGAAAGAGGAGCTGAAATGTCGTCAACTGCTCTCAGAGTGTAAGTACATCAAAATTACCAACCCTGAAAACTACACAGAGTGACAGTTTGGAAATTGTATTGTTTATTTGATTCTGCCGCGCTCCTCGGATTGGCTATCCATTGGGGTGGGCCTTGGGGGTTGAAAGTTCTTCCAGGATTTTTGTTCAAAATTGCAACGATTTAACTGTGATTATTATTTAATGTTACATTGGACGAGACAGAAAATATAGTAATTTAAATTAATGTTACACTTAGAAGACTTAGAGTTATTATTATTATTATATTATAATTATAATTATAAAAAACTAAGCTACATAACAACTATGTTTGAGAATGAAAGTTATACG